TACGTTCCAAATTTTTTTTTTTAATTTTTAAATTTACAACAAATTTTTTTTAATTTCCGAAAATCATAAGCAATCATATCGGTTACTTGGATTTTTTTATTTTTTTATTTTATATCTTTTTGTAAAGAAAAAAAATAGTTTTTTTTTTCTTAATAGTCTTATGAACGTGGACTTAGCGCGATTTTTTTTTTTACAGTGAAACTGTTTTTGTTCGGATTTTAGTATTTTTTGTAATTATAATAAAAATTTACAATTGGTACCAACTTAAATCTCGCGTTGGCTGCATTTTTTTTATAGCAAACTATTCCCTTGAAGCTACAGTTTATGTAAAAATAATTCCAGCGCACCCTGGCGGGTGTAGATGCAAGCTGTGAAATATCTTTTTTTAACTGTAGTTTTCCATCTAATGAAGGATTACTATGCATTCTCGAATTATTTAGTCTGTGGCAGATCACTTTGCCCATCGAAAAAAAGTCAGGATCGAAATTTTTGCATTGCTATAGTTTGTGCTGATCAAATTTAGTAATTTCAAGTAGATTAATTGTTATAAGTGAATATAATTAATTAATAACAGTAAAATAAAGTATGAATTACTGTTATAATATACAATTTAGGAAAAAAAAGTACCGTAGAATTAAATAAAATTAAATAAAATAGAATTAATTCAAAATTTGAGTTTGTTAACACTATAGAACAGTAATCGACAAGAGGTAAGATGGTAGCTGACACTAATAATCTCTTGATATCGGTTGTGTAAATGTTCTTTCTTAATTTAAGACTATATAATGCTGAATTTATTTTACTGATTGTTTTTGACGTATGAAGATTCCAAGACAGTGTATTTGTAATGTGAAGTCCCAGACACCTGGCCGACTCTGTAAAGAGAATCACTATACCATTAACAACAATAAGTGGTAAAAAGTTATGTTGAATATTTTTTAATTTCCCACTCGAGCCTAAGAGCATAGCTTTTGTCTTTGTTACATTGATTTCTAGACCATTGTCTTTAGCCCAATCAACAACAGCTTGAGCATCAGTAGTTATTTGTCTGATTGCATCGTACAACTGATAATAATGAAAGTGTAAATAAATGTACTTGTCATCTGCAAATAGTCCGTGTCTTGAATAAATATTTAACAATAAAAAAATTTTAAAAAAATGGACAAAACTTATACAGATTCCTATTTAGCGATTTTCTTTTGGTTTTCAGAAAAAACTGAAAATTTTTTAATGATCGACATTGCTTACTTTTTTTTATTCTTTTATATAAAACTTTGTCTTTATCTATAAATTCTGTGAATTGTTCAGAGGAGCACTTTTGCCAAATCTTTTGATGAAAATTAAAATTTTGTAATTATTTTTTTTTTTTTTAGTGAGCAACTTCTGATGAACAAAGATTCCTTAATGTTTTCTAATTCCAATTGAATGGAACTTTTTCGGAATCCGTTGAGCGAAATGTTTATGATAATTTCAAGTCATCAAAATTAGTCTTCTTTTAGGTAAGTTTGTAAGTTAGTTAAAGTAATAATTTTTTACTTCACAAAGCAGATAAAATGAAATATATTTTTCTAAAATTACAAAGTATTGCTCAATATTTTCAGATTTGGCTAATCGATAATGGATAACTTCAAAATCACCTTTTTGATCACATCTATCGTCACCATAATAAGTGTTTGGTGTGTTGTAATATCATTTGCAAGTCTATGGGATGTTCCGCTGTTAAAATGCCCAGAAGGTCAAATCAGAATACATAGCGGAGAATGCGTACGTTTCTTTACCATTAATTTCTACGACCCCAATCATATTAAACAAACAGCGTCATTAACGCCTGAGACGACTGTTAAGGAAAATGAGGAAAAGTTACTTGAGCTATTAAGATCGCTATCATTATCTAAAACTGATACTGATTATGAGTACGAGTACTAAGGTAAAAGCTCCTTTTATTGACAGGGCCCCCACTATTAATACCCTATTTAATTTTATTACTTCATAATTAAAATCTGTTAATAATCACAATTGTTGATATTTCATGACAATTTTACATGGTTCTAAAATTAAAAAATAGTAAAATTTAATTCCAAAGGATAAACTATTTACCACAAAAAAAAATTTCATTTTTTCAAGTATAGGCCAAAAACTGCTTATACGTTTGTAATTTCTTAACAATATTGTTAAGAAAGACCTTACTTTAAAATCCAGATTTCTCAATGTTTTTTTATGTAATTGCATTGTTTAAAATTATTTTAGATTATTTATAGTCTTAATAACCATATAATCATTTATTTATACTGTATCGAGTATAAATTAATTTTAAAATAGCGGATGTCAATGTAAGGTAACTTTACCCCCTCAACATACATAGTATTAATATTTACAAACTGTCGTGTGATTTTATAAGAATCAAAGCATTTAAGACTAGAAAAAATTGCTAAAAAAATCCTGGTAAAAGATATAGAAAAGCTAGGTCTTAAACGAATTTTAAAATAATAATAAAAATTATTGATTTAAATTAATAATAAAAATTTTTGATAGTCAATAATGAAAATTATCAGGAACTTGGACCATAAAAAATAACTCAGTGTTAAATTTTTTAAATGTTGCAACGTTTCGTTGTATTTCACAACTTCATCAGGCAAACTGTACAAAAGAAAACACATTGTTAATAACAATATGACAAGGATAACAAAAAGATAAATATTAAAAAATCTTACATTTAAGGTTAACACTCTGTTGTATCTCAAAATAAACTCCGAAAAATTTCATCGTTTTACAATATATAGATAAAGTTAAACAAGTGGTAACCATAATATTAAGAAAACTTAGTCAATCTCCATTCCATTTAAACAAATTAGTCAACAATAATAAGTTATAAAATTACAATAGTTACATTCAAGACAGACAGCAACAGACTGAGTGTAAACAACTGCAATGGTAAAAACGCAGTTGTGCTTCTCAAATCTACTATGCTGACTCCTAATTTTGAAATGATTATGATTTAAAATATTTATTAATACAAACAATATTTATCAAATAAATAAATAAAAATTATCTTAAAGTAATCCCTATAAAAAATTCTTACTATTTCATTTTTACAAAATCACCTTTCAAAGAAAAATATTTTTCAAGAGAAAATTTTTTTCACAAAAAGCTTTTTTGCAAAAAAATGCTTTTCACAACAAAAAAACCTCTATGGAAAAAACCCTTTAGAAAAGTAAAATTTTAACAAAAACACATTAGATCACAAAACAATTATTGCATGAATCTTGTAGCCACTAATATGATATCACTGTATGATGAACTTAACCCCTGAGTATCAGACCTAAAATTGACACAATCAAACACTTTGATGAAAAACATCTCACTGATGTTACGTTTTAGAAAATGAGATTCATAGTCCAAAATCTGAGCAGCATCAAACTGAAAATCATGCCCGCTCTCAAAGTGATGATCCGCCAATGCCGTCATGTTACTCTTGTTAATGTTGACAGGCCTGCAATCGTTCAATTAATAAAGACATCCAATTCACAATTGAAGTTGAACAAGATGGTAAAATTCCGTATTTGGATGTGTTGGTGGAAAGAACAGGATCTGGGGAACTCAGAACTTCATGGTATCAAAAACCATATAGTTCGGGGAGAGTTCTGAACTTCAAATCAAATCATCCTCTGAGCCAGAAGCTAGGTGTAGCACAAGGTTTCTTTAACAGAGCCATACGTCTAAGTCATGTGACTATGGTGGCTGTAAGTACTGATAAAGTGAGACACTTGCTCATGAATAACAACTATCCGTCATCTCTTCTTAGGAAGTGTGAGAAAATTACTAATGATAGAATCATCATCTGCATATGCTACCAGTTTCACTTCTGCTGGCAATGCTATTTTCAGGAGACCATCATACATGATGTTCCATAGCAGAGGACCTAGAACTGAGCCCTGTGGTACACCACCAGTTGTGTGTGTGTGTGTGTGTGTGTGTGTGTGTGTGTGTGTGTGTGTGTGTGT